GGGTTCAGAGCCTTCTCTGTAATTCCGTTATGCACAGGCTGCGCTGTACCGTGTGTGGGCAATCCTCAGTACGCACAGGGGCCCATCCTCAGGCCCCCAGGATCCCCAAATTCTCAATGCCCAAATCACCCATAGACTGGTACAATATTTGTGTAGAATCTATGCACATATTCCTGAACACTTCCAAACTTGTCTAGATTGCGTATAACCCAATATAGTGCAAATGCTAGGTAAATAGGTGCTAGACAGAATTACTTAGGGGATAACGACCAAAAACGCCTGAACACATTCAGTGCCAATGCAAATGTTTAAAGAGGTTTTATTTTGGTGTTTGTTTTGTTTTTTTATCATGGATGGATGGATGTGGAACCCATGGACACAGAGACAACTGTGTTTCCTTATCTGTCTCCACCACCTGGCTGTTAACTCTGTAGGTACAGTCGAATCACTTTTGCCTTCCAGCACTTGGAATGTAGGAGCTGCTCCACACACCACTGCTTCTCTAATGGACCAACTATACCCAGGGGAATCACTGGTCCTCTCAAGTACTTGAGGAGAAACCTAGAGACCTTCACTCCCAGGGCAGTGGGGCAGGTCCCATCACCATGGCAGCAGCCCAAGTCAAGTTCAGGACCTTGCCTTTAGCCTTGTTGCTGTGCACCCTGAAACAACAGGGGACAGCTGCATCATGCTTCTGACAGCAACTTGTCAGAGGAAAAGGGCGTGTGCAGAAATGACACAGAGCCCCGTTGCCACTGCACCAGGAGCCAGGGCTGGGAGAGGGCAGGGTTGGCCTGGGGGCTGGTGCAGGGGTATGGAGTAGGGCCACCCTGGAGAAGCCAGGCCGCCTGCCCTTTGTCTTGGGGCCTCTGTAGCGCAGGCTGGGCCATCTTCTAACAAACATGAAATGTAGTGCCTGAGCTTGGGCACAAAAAAGCAACAGCCTGAAATGCCTCCGCAATAAACCACACTCTGTGGTGAACACGCACCACACAGCTCCGAGAGTGGCTGGCTGCTGACCCCCCATCCATATGCCATGCACATCTGAGCCTGCTCATCCAAAGCAGACTCCTCCACATGCGTGTACAGTCTCATCCAGCCTGGCGGTGACAGCCTCCTGTGTGGTGGCGCCCTGGGCACACATCTGAGGGCGGTAGGGTGCTGTTCCCCGTCACATCATCTCTTCTCCAGTCTTCCTGCTCAAGTAGAAACTTCCTCAGTGCCTGCCCAGAACAAAACCCTAGTCCAGCCCCTGATCACAGGCCTTCATCACCAGGAGTTCTGCAGCCAACCACACGCAAAACAAGTGAGAAAAAGTCTGTGTCCATACCAACTCTCCGTCTGTCATTATTCCCTACACAATACAGTCTAGCAACCACCTCCACAGCACTTGGACTGCACAGGTACTATAAATAATCCAGAGATGATTAAAGCATGCAGGAGGGTGTGTGTGGGCTCCAGGCACACACCATGTCCTCTAACACAAGGAACCTGGGCAGCTGTTGATTCTGGTATTGGAGGTGGTCCTGGAGCCTACTCCCCAGGAACGTGGAACAAAGACGGAAGTATGTAGTGTTTTAATTTATTTTTTAAATTTTACTTTTGTGAGATCAAAACCGGGATGCTACATCTCTGAGTCCTACCCCCACCCCTTCAAATATGTCTTTTTCTTTTGTTATACAGCCTAAGTTGCCCCAGCTGGCGTATGACTTGCTGTGCTCCTACTCAGCCTCCCTGTGGCTGGCCAGAACACTGGCCCATGAGGTTCTGAGTGCTGGGTTATCCTTTCCTTACTAAGATGCCAGTTCTGTGAGGGCAGACAGTCATAGGTCTAAAGTCTCCAGTCCCAGGGCCCACCACGGTGCCCAGCTCTTAGCAACCTGGGTAACTACAGACTCCGGCTATGTCAGGGCACAGTAGGATAAGTTGGTAGAGTCATAGGAACGGATACATGAGGCACCCTATTTAGGGGAGTCTGAATGAGGGTGTGAACACAGCAGGGAAGAAACTAACAGCAGTCTGAGCCTCAGCTTCATGGGGTGAATGGCCCTTGGTGATGCCCCTCTTTCATAAGTGAAGATATCCAGCAGCCACAGGAACTGGTGTTGAAGTCAGTTCTGACTTTAAAATGACCCATGGTGTGGTATTCCCTGGGAGTTAGGATCATCTTACAAAATGACCTGGAAGCAGGCCAAACCGAGATTATTCAGAACCAGCCTCAGGGTCTCCTACCACCTTGGCTCATCCCCACCACAGATGAGGGACAGACTCATCCTCTCCAGATGCACAGCCACCAGACCCTTCCAGTTTGGTGCCCTGTGCAGGAAGTGCTTGTGAACACTAAGAACTATGCAAACTTCTGGTGATAAGATTTTGCTGGTGGTGACACCTGAGAAGGACAAAATAGCAGAAAGAAGAAAACTCAGGCCCAGCCCTGAAGTGCACAGGTGTGCTGTGAACCCGGTGAGCATTTCTACCCAGTCCTCAAGAGTAATAGGAGGGATTGTCACTCATTCCAGGCCAGAGGACCGAATCTCAGGAAGGTTGTTTCTTAGCCAAAGTCATATGGAGTGTGTGTGTGTGTGTGTGTGTGTGTGTGTGTGTGTGTGGTACGGGGGGCTGAGCCCAGGCCCTTTGCACTGAGCTACATCCCCAACCCTTTTTCACTTTGAGACAGGCTGAGTCACCAAATTGCCCAAGCTAGATCTGAACTTGTGATCCTTTTGCCTTGGCCTCCCAGAATACTCGGATAACAGGTATGTGTCTCCACACCAAGCTGGAACATGGATTGCGAGGTGAAGTCTCCCCAGTTCCACATTGGGCACCTGCCTCTCGCTACACCCCAGGTGAGGCACCATCCATAAAGCCACCCCTGAGCAAGCCATACAGCTGTGGCAGAAGCTGGGAAGGAGATGGGCTAAGGTGTGGGTGACCCCAGGAGAAAGCCACGCACATGAGTATGCGAGAGGCTAGTGCCCAAGTGGCCTTCCTAGGCAGTTGCAATGTATAAGGTGGGCCAAGAACCCAGTCAGCGGACACTGACTTAGGAGACTTGGAGAAAAGGCACAAGCCCCAGCCCATGGGTATGCTGTACCTCTGAGCTCTGATGCAGTTCATGGGACCCTCAGCAGTTCTGAGAATTGCCTGCAGGCTCCATGAGCCCCAGGTTGGGGCTGCATGTGCCCTGTGCCCTGAGGGTTCCTGAGATAACACACAGGATGGCATGCAGAGTCTCTGGTCCTCTCGAAGGGTTACACATGTCCCCAGGAAAGGACAGAGCATGTAACTGCTCTTTTCAGATGCAGCAACTAAGAAAAGAATCTACTTCCCACTCCCAGCTGCTCTCCAGGCACCTGAGAGGGGCTGGTTGCATGGAGGAGTCAGCAGGCTGCTCCCCAAATTAGGTCACTCACTTCTGACAGGTGGAGACTCTGCATCTGCAGTCCCATGACACTTGTGCTGGAAATTATTGCTGAGAAGATGGAAAAGGCCAAGCCTCAGGGGAAATGAGAATATGCACTCTGAGCAATGGCATCCTTATGCCCAGCTTTGCTCCAGAGATGGCGGAAGCCAACTGGGGCCTCATCTTTGGTTTTTCTTTTAGGATCATGTTTAAGAGATTTTAAAATCAGAAGGATGAGGAAAATCATTCAGTACATGGCTACACAGAACAAACACTTGCTAGGAAAATCCACTGGAGTCAGCTGGACACTTAACCCATGTGCCTGAGAACAGGCTGCACCACTGTTTCCAGTGAAGTTCCCAGGCAGGGATGGGTCCATGGGCCTTGGTGCCCCAGGAAACCTCTCTGTGGGGGACACCACGAGGAGACAAAGGTGGGCAGGTGTCTGCCCTCCTGGCAGCTGCCCACTGAGTCGTCTTCGCCTTGCCCCTGCGCGGGGAGCTCCACCCACAGCAGGCAGCTCCTGCGTCTCTGCCTTGAGTCCGGCAGAGCTGGCCCACACCCACAGGACCTGCTGCAACTTAGGCTCACAGCAGCTTCCCACGAGGGACAGAACCCAGAAGTCATCCTAACTCCCGAGTTCAAAGGCTGAAAACCACAGCTTGCTTCTGATCAAACAGCATCACTGCCATTTCTGTGAGCTATGCTTAGAACTTTTTTTTCCTTTCAACTATCTGCCTAAGAAAAATCAGAAATCACATCTGAGGCTGGAGGACTTTGAGGTGAGCAAGGTGTTGTGTTTACATTTATGTTAGGGCACCCGCATGTTGGTATCCATACTGTATTTGCGCTGAAAAGCAGGATTGGGGTTGAGCATCCCTAATCTGAACTCCGAAATGCTCTAAAGCAGGAACCTGGTACATCAATACTGCTATCACAAGTGGAAAGTTCCTCACTTGATTTATATGATGGACAAAACATAGGTGGACTAAAATCACTGCATGAAACTACCTTGAGGCTGCGCGTCTAAGGTGCACATGTAAATGAACTGAGTCTCCACTTGGGTCCTATCCCCAAGACATCTCGTTAACTATATGCAAGTATTTTAAAATTGAAAAAACATCCCAAATACAAAGCACTGTGGACAGGGAATACTCATCAGAGCTAAATACCATTTTCTTTAAACACGATTCAATTCCCACACTATCCAACAAGAGTATTCACGTCAGGGGCAAACTGGGCCAAATAGACTGGGTCACACGTGCCCTCTGCATTTCTTTTTTTTTTTCCCCCATAATTTTATTGAGAAATGAACAGCAGAGACAGTTTCAAATCAAATTAGTAAGTTTCAATAATTAACATATTGCATACTGTCTTCCTAGTGGTTATTTGTTGTACAAGATGCAGACATGATATCCTATTTACAAGCCCTCTGCATTTCAAAGCATCCCAGGACAGGCCAGCATGTGTGTGCCACAGAGGATGTGTGACCCTGCATGGGGGCAGATGGCATCTCCTCACAAGGAAGCCACGTTATCCTGAGTTGTCCCAGCCGCCTGGCCCAGGAGACAAGAAGAAGAGACAGGACAGTACTCACAAGAACTTGCCATCTGTCTTTGATCCTATGAGGACGATCTGCTCAGACTCGCCCCGAGAGATATTTCCATGGAACCAAGGCATTTTCTCATGGGCTGTGGTGGCGATCAGCTTCTCCAGCTGGGGCTTCTGACTGATGATGGCCTGCTCCAAGGCCTGGCCCTGCCATGAGCAGGAAAGACGGCTGGTTAGGCAAGGAAGAGAGAGGAAGCTGGAGAAACAAGTCCTGTCTGCTGGTGGTGGAAGCAGGGGGTGGCCTCACTTGCACACTCATTCAGAGCTCATTACTCGCCATTTATTCAGCACGGAGAGACTTGCATACTACAGATGTGCTTCCAGATGCAAACATGAAAACACATTCTCGAATACAGATTCTCCTTTCCCAGGCCAGATAAAACTTTGAATAACATCTGGCCTAATTTCTGCAGTTGAGATGAGGCCTTCTGCCCCAGGTGCCCCAGGATGCTAGGCTGACCATTCAGTGTCAAAACCTGGCCATTTCCTGGCCGGCAAAAAGCTTGTGAGGTGTGGGGGAAGGAACATCCTGTCTGCCTGTGTAGGTGACAGCGTGTGAGTGACCACACGGGCACAGCAGCACAGAAGCCAAGCCTGGGAAACACAGCTGAGCTAAGCAAACCTATTTATTTCCTCACTTTCTTTGTGGGAGAGAAATAGATCTTTCCAACAGTGGTTATCGAAGTGCCACAGTTCAATGATTTGCATTTATAAAGAAATCCCAAAGCAGTAACAGTAGAACTATAATTACCCCAGACACCTGGAAGGCAGAGGGCATACAGCTGTGAATGAAAGTGTGGCACACATTTCCCAGATGAGGGGCTGGGGAGATGGCTCAGTAAAATAAGTGCTTGCCTGACAAGTGCAAGGGCTTGAGTTCAATCCCTGGTTCTGCCAATAAATAAATAAATAAATAAATAAATAAATAAAAACATTTCCCAGATGAGGTGAACACTGCAGATAGCACGGGCCACAGACACAGAAGCATCCCGGGCGAGGTGAGCACAGAGCCAAGGCTGTAGGAGTCCTCTCAGAGTTGGCAGGGACCACCACGGACATGGGCGGCAATGCAGACAAAGCGTAGGTAGGGAGGCCACATGGGGGAAGCTGGTCTGGAAAGCACCATGTTGCCCACTGATGCGGCACTCTGGAGAAAGCAGAAAGCAGAGACAGAATGTGGCTGTGCGGCTGGGGTGGGCAGGGGGTGGGCAGAGGCACGCAGTGCCTACCTATCTGGACCAAGGTGGGAGTCACACTCATCACACATCCCAGAGCTGCACACCCAGATGGGTTGAAGCTACAGGGCGTAAATTATACTCAATGAGTCTGACGTTTCTAACTTGAAGAACAAAAGGATAGTCTAAGATTTACCCAATAAATACAAGTTAAAAGCACCAGTTCATCACGTCATAGTATCTGACTTAAGATGGAACTTAACACAAAGCATGTTAAAAGTATAGGAAACAGTCACGGTGTAACAGGTAAGGTTGATACTGTCTAAGTCAGTATGGGTCAAGCAGTGCAGAGGAGGGACATGTCAGCACACAACCAGAAAATGAGAAGAGATCTGGGTATCACCTCAGCCTAGGCAGGAGACTGTCACTAGACCTGTTGGCTCCTGACACCACGTGCTCTGAAGACTGGTGAGTCAAGGTGTAGCTCAGGGGCACAGTGAGCACTCGGCATGTATGAGTGCCAGCACCAGGTTAAGAGCAGGTGGCAAGAACGCAAGCTGCTGTGACCAGTGCCGACCTTCTGGACAACACTGTCCTGTGCCCAAATAAAACATGTGTCCTCTACTGAGGCACAGGTCCTCCAGAATTTGTCCTGCAGATATGGCCCACAAGCTTAGTGTAAAGGAGCACAGTGGGTGCTACTGGCAGGAAGATGTTAGAACAAGAAAAGTGGCCATGAGTGATGCTAGTCAAATAAATAATGATACACAGCAGGCAACACCAGGCCACAAAGAATGGGTGCCAAGCGAGGGGAGGAAGGTCAGCATGGCACTGTTCAAGGTAAATAAAAGCCAGAAGACACCCATTGGCGATTTGGTGAAGTGGGTGGCAGGTTTTCCTGTGATGCATAAACCCATATTGCGCCCACTCTGAGGTGGCCGTGAGAAACAAAAAGCTATTGAGCATGGCGGTGCTACCTATGACAGCACTCTAGGATGCTGAAAGAGGGTGGCTGCAAGTGTGAGTCTCACTGACAATTTTGCAAGCCCCTATATCAAAATAAAAAATAAAAAAGGACTAGGGGTATAGCTCAGTGCAAAGCACCAGTGCTGAGGAAGGAAGGGAGGGAGGGAAGGAGGGAGGGATAAGGGAGGGAGGAAGGCAGGCAGGCAGGCAGGCCTCTGTTCTCTGGAGGCATTGTTCTGTGGTCTGATAGTGCCTCCCACGGTGGGTGCTCATTTGGGCCCCAGGGTGGACATCCAGGGAACTGTAGACCGAGCTGCATGGCAGATGAGCCCACCTGCAAGTTCCATGTTTGCTTCACATACTCCCTGATGAGGTTTTCCTTCAGGTCCTCAAAGGGCCCAGTCTTGGGCTGCACGCCGGGAGGCCGGTTGCAGGGCTTGGTGAGCAGACAGATCAGGCCATCAGGCTCCAGCGAGTGGTAGTGACAGAGGTCGGCGGGGCTGCTGTGGGTACGGCCACCTGAGATGGCGTAGGTGCCATTCAGCTCGCGCTCAATGGTGTAGTGGTGTGCCTTGCGCCCGTGCGCCACCGACAGTGCAAATCCACCCAGGTAATTGCGGCTCTGGCGCAGCAGGTAGAGCCCATCAGTCATGCCCCCTTGCACTAGGTAATCCTCTGCCTCCTCACGTGTGATGTTGCCGTAAAAGAAGGGCAGATGGTTGGCACTGTCTGCTGCACTGCTAGCCATCCCTGCACTGGGCCGCCTTCAGGGTGCACCTAGGGGCAGAGAAGAGAGAAAGCATTGGGGACTAGGAAACAAGGCCACCAGATGTCTCTCCTGCTGGGGACTAGTCCTTCTGGCTCAGGAAGGAAGCACTTCCCTGACTTTCTGATTTTTGCTTGTATCATTTTTTCCCAGTAGACCAGATCTTGAGTGGGTGTGAGCAGAGGCATGTCCTGGAGTCCCTAGTGGCACACTCAGGAGCCTGTAGAGCCCACACCTGCATGTCTCTGACCTGCCCTCCACTGAGAACCCGAGGTGCAGCTGCGTAGGTCTCACCATGTAGCCCAGGCTGGTCTTGAGCTCTCTGTGTAGCCCATGCAGGCCTTGGACTCCTCTTGCCTCACCTCCTAAGTGTTGAGATTTTAGAGGATCAGGAACCTGATCATCCCCAGATAACTGGCAACCTGAACTGCAACATCTATGAAAACATGGACAAGTAAGGACCACCTAGCATGAAAAATTAAGTATGAGGCTGAGAAGGACTTGGAGGTGTGAGTGACTTTGGAGGCATCCAACAAAACAGAGAGTAAGAATCAAGAAACCATGGTGGGTCACAAGAGCCACAGAGAGCCTTGGGAGTGCAGGAGCTTCAGTAAGCTGCTCAGGAGGGGAGAACCTATGCCCCACCACCTCCACCATCATGGCAGCCATGCTGAACCTTGGAAGCTTTGGTGGGAAACTCCACCCACCATCCCTCTGCCATCCAGGGAACCACGACCTGGAAGAACCCTGGGGTCTGGCCCATACTCCTACGCTGCGGGTTGGGCGGCTGCACAAGAAATGCTCAGGCCACTGCAACTGTCTTTTCCAAAGGAATCCAGGGTAGATTTACCCTAACAAGAGGAAATACTTCATGTACAAACTCCTAATTTATGATTGGTTCTATTATATAACTACAGACTTTCTATAGTTATATAATATAGTTTCAAAGTATAAAATCAATAGTTATCACAGTAGTCCTAGCCCTGGCCCGGTGAGTGTATGGGAGAGCTTCCGGCTACCCTGTGCCAGCGGGACCTGCTGGTCTGAGCCCAGGTGCAGCATGGGTGAAAACCTCCTCCACCCCACTGGGAGACCCCCACCACTCCACAGCACCCACCCCCCACCCCACCTGCGCAGTGAGAATTTCTGCCATGTTCTAAGGAACCCCCAGATCCAGTCTTAGCCCAGGCCCGGTGAGTGTGTGGGAGAGCTTCCAGCTACCTGGCACTCGCCACCCTGAGTGGCGGGACCTGCCAGTCCAAGTCCAGGTGCAGCATGGGTGAGACCCTCTACCACCACCTTGGGACTCACCCCCACGATTGCACAGCAGCCCCCCCCCCACGCCCACCCAGTGAGAATTTCTGCTGAGTACTGGGGACCCCCAATTCAGTCCTACCCAGGCCTGGCGAGTGTGTGGGAGAGCTGCCTCTCCCCCCTACTCCACCTTGTCACCTCCAGACTCAGCACAGGCCTGGCATACAGACCTGGAGTGAAATCCTGCAGCTGCAATCCCTGCAGAGAGAGTAGGTGACAAAACCACCCAGCTAGAACAGGAACAGAACATCTTGATAGAGGGGCACATCAGGTTCACCCCCAAGGGCAACAACATTAAGGAGCTGAGCATAGCAGCCAGACCCAAGCCAGGCACAGCCGGATAAAGCTAAACTTTGTAGATCTGCACCTGAATTTCAGTAGGTGCTAAGCTCATAACTGCAACAAAGATCTACAATGAAGGTCAGAAGATAGTGTCACACAAAATGACAACGAGAAGGAGCAAAATGCAATTGAAGCCCTCAAGCCCACCCATAACAAGTACAAAGGACACTAACAGAGAACAAATTGGGAAGCACACAGCTGAAATCAATGAATCAATGGCTTCTGAAATAAAGAAACAACTGCAGATAGGTATAGAGGAACTCAGACTGGGAATGAAAAAAAAATCCCTAAATTAATAGCACCTGCAATAAAGAATCAAATGCAGAAACATATGGAGGAAACCCAATGCCCACACAGAACAAGTGCAGAGGACACTACCTGAGCTCAAATCTTTGAATTAATAACGTTGATAGTAAATAAGCAACAGCAGAAAGTTATAGAGGAACTTAGAGCTGAATTCTTTTCTACTAGCTCAGCTCAGATGTATGAATTAATAGGGTCGATAGTAAATAAGCAACATCAAAAAGTTATAGAGGAACTCAGAGTGGAATTATTTTCTGAAATAAAAAAAGAATTTTCAGAACTCATAGCATCTGAAATAAAGAATCAACTACAGAAACATAGTGAGGAAACCCAATCTGAACAAAACTATGCAGTAAAAGAATTAATAACTGCTTCTAAAGAACACATTGATAAAAAAAATAGAGGAGATTAGAAAAATGACTGATTCCTTGAATGAGTAATACAGGAAAGAAATAGATTGCATGAAGCAGAGTCAAAGAGATAAAGAAGAAATTAAAATCTCAATCACAAGCTTGCAAAACCATTTGAGTGAAAGTGAAGACAGTTTCA